CCATTCACTATAGAATAAATAAAACTTGTCATTCAACAGTTACCATAGTCATAAACGCCAGGATTTGGTGGATTATACGGCGAGTGTTACCAAACAATAAAATTATTACTATGCCCTGTACTGCTCCACGTTTTCACGTTGAGGTTTAATCTGGAGACGATTCCGCGCTGTTTTACTAAAGGTCAGACTGTTCTAGTCCCAAAATACTTACAATTACATTATGCAGCATTGACTACAAAATTTTTGCAAAGGTCCTTTCAAACAGATCTCAATTTGCAATGTCAATACTCATTGGTGCCCATCAGAACGGCGGTATCAAAGGTCGCTCAATACAGACTAACATACACATCGCTCGCACAGTATTGGAATATTGATCACACTCATATGAACAACTGGCAATACTACCAGTAGACTTGGAAAAAGCCTTTGATCGGGTTCGTCATTCTTTTCTGTTTTCTCTTCTCGAAGATACTAAAGCTGGCACCACTATATGGAAAGGTGCGAAAGTATGTTACAATGAATGTTCAACCCGTTTAATTCTTAATGGATATCTTTGAAAGCTCATGTTTTTTTAACCCATCTGTGAAACGGGGCTGTCGGTCGCCGCCAATGCTTTTCACTCTTTACTCGGAGCCACTGTGCTTAAGTGTAATTCAATGTACTAATGTCCGTGGTTTCAGTTCTTACGGTATGAGGTAGAGGTATTGATTTATATGGATGACCTAGTGTTCTTTTGTACAGATCTTTCTAGTATAAAAGTGGTGCGGTCAAAAATTGGACAATTGGAGAAAATTTCAGGGGCACGAATGAACATTGCTAAAAGCTTGAAACTGTGATTTGGCTCATGGACATAAAAACCAACCCAATTTTAGGGTATAAAACAGCCTTGCGTTCCACCAAATACCTGGACGTTTCATTTGATGCACATACATCAAGTGCACATTATTGGAAAAAACGTGTACCCTCATAACCTCTCTATATTTGGCACAGCTAAAGCACGCAACCTGTTTCTAGCAACAAAATATTCTACGTACTGCAAACAATTTGTGGTATGGGGTTTACATACAGAAATTTCACCGTGTATTTGCTACCTTTATTTGGTCATGAACCTATGAACCGATGAGGGGAGACAGCGTTTTTAGAATTGTCTGCGCAGGTGGTTTTGAGCTGGTACACCTCTATCAGAAAATTGGTGTGGCGCTTTTTCTATTTTCGTGACTGTGCTCATCCACTGCTTCAAATATTCTTGCAAGTGAATTTTGCAAACGTTTTACCAAGTTTAATGGTATCTTCTAATTTTGCATCGCCTCCCTATCTGCAAGGGCTAAGCGTGAAGTATACGATTCAGTGCGTTTTCTGACAGTGAGATTTTGCAATAAATACTTGTTCTCTAACTCAAGAAAAGACCTATGTTATGCTGTATTGAATGTCCTATTTGCGGGTGCATTTTACCGCTCACTATATATTGGATTTTAAGTGCGAAGCATTTTTTAGCGAACTTCAGCGACTTTCTATCTATCTAACCACCTACGACATTTAGCTCTCCTGGCCGTTTCGATAATGTCATCGATACGAAACTTAGTATGGCATAACATGACTGTATGAAGAATATATTTCACTAGTCATAACATGAAAATCGTGGTATGTATTTCATGAATGTGAGAATTAACACTTTATGGTCCTGCAGCTCTTGCGGTGGTTTCGTTCACATGGAATGTTGCAAAAGTGGTATGGTATGCCATGATTGCATGGCGAACACAAGCGACAGACCTTAACATGAAAATCATGCGTGTTATGTAACAACATGACTACATGCCACACTGATGATGCACTCGCGGCCGTATCGCCAGCTTCACATATGCCAAATTTGGTATTGCGTGACACCAATAGATGAAAATATGTGACTGGTGCAAACATGATAATCATGGGATTCGTGTCATGTGAGAACATGACTACATGCCACAGCCAAGGCACCAATACATTTCGACGTGACGCGGTGCTCGTGCTTGCCGGCCTTCACTTCGTCGCGTCACACCAGCATTGCCCCGCCAAGCGCCGGTCCTGCCATACACTTGCAGGCGCGCGCCGCGCGGCGTTGCTTTTACGCATATGCGTTTTAGCGCGTCCAACGTTCCGCCGTCACGAAAAGTGGGAGACGCTGTGTTGTCTGGGTAACGCATCAGTGCGAAATGCAGCATGCCGCATTTCGCACCGGTTGCCGTTCGGCCGCGCCGACGGACGCTGGTCGGACCTGGCGTCAGACTATACAGTGCTCGCATTTCGCTAACGTAGCGTCGCTGTGGCCCGCGTGCGCGCGCGTCAACGCTACATTACGGTATATTGGGCCCTTTATTATGCGCTCGCGGCGGTTATGCTAGCTCCACATACCTAGTTTGGCGTTACGTGACATCAATGGATGACAAAATATATGACTGGTGCAAACATGATAATGCTGACATGCGTGTCATGTAAAACATTACTATATATGTGCTACGCTAATAGCGGGCTCGAGGGTGTTTCGCTCTTTTCACATACACTAAATTTGGTACCACGTGACGTGAATAGATAGCGAAGGTAAACGACACATTCACAAACGATAATCATGACACGGAAGTCATGTATGGCATCATTTACTTTCATCTCGTAACGTTTTGCTGATTTTAAAATGACATATCAACATTTCTCATTCGGGCTTCGCATATCATCGATTCCTACTGTACGTGGGATCTGCCAATATTTTCTAGTCATGACATGCTATTGCGTGTAACAAAAATGCCTATTTCACCAATACCTAAAACATTTTAAAAGCGAAGCATTACTCAGGGAACTTAAGCGACTTTGAGCGTATCTATCTATCTATCTATCTATCTATCTATCTATCTATCTATCTATCTATCTATCTTGCCCCCTACGAGTTTTAGCTCTCCAGGTGGTTTCAATAACGGTATCAATACCAAACTTTGTATGGCATAACATGACTCTATGAAGAAAATATTTGACTAGTAACATGAAAGTCATAATATGTATGTCATGAACGTCATGATTTGCATTTCTTGGTCCTGCAGCTGTTGGGGTGTTTTCGTTCACATGGCATATTGAAAACCTGGTATGGTATGGCATGATTGCATGGCAAACACAAGCGACAGACCGTAACATAAAAATCATGGTATGCATGTCATGCAACAACACTACTACATGCCACGCTCATGATGCGCTCGCGGCCGTTTCGCTAGCTTCAAATGTACCAAACTTGCTATTACGTGACGCCAATGGATGACGAAGGTATGTGACTGGTGCAAACGTGATAATGATGAGATGCGTGTCATATGAGAAGATGACTACATGCCACAGTCAAGTTGTCAATAAATTTCGACGTCACGCGGTATGCGTGCCCGCAATACCACGTGGCATCGTATGCACCTGGCGTCAGAATATGAATGCTCGCCTTTTCCTAACGTAGCATCGCTGTGCCCAGCGTGCGCGCGCGTCAACGCTACATTGGAGTATAATGGGCTTTTAATGATGCGCTCGCGGCCGTTCTGCTAGCTCCACTTATACTAAATTTGGTGTTACGTGACGTCAATGGATGACGAAATGTATGACTGGTGCAAACATGATAATCCTGACACGCGTGTCATGTAGAAACATGACAGCTTACCACGCTAATAGCGTGCTCGCTGCCAGTTCACTAGCACCATATATACTAAATTTGGTATCACATGATGGGAATAGACGAGGAAAGCAAACGGCACATCCAAACATGATAATTATGACCCGGAAGTACAGCATCATTTACCTCCACCTCGTAATGTTGTGCTAATTTTAAAGTTGCATATCAACATTTTTCATTCATGCTTCGCATATCATCGATTCCCACTGTATGTGGGATCTGCCCATTTTTTATCTATTGAATAAAACACTCTCCGTGCTTTAGAAAAGTCAATCCTAACATTTTTTTTTTCAGTTTCTTTGGGTATACAGATTGCTAGATACAATTGTACTGCTAAAAAAGTTCAGGAACTATTTGACGTGCCCCTACAGCCCTGATTGGATGACCTTTGGCTGCACTGCCAACAGTTTGTGAAACGGAGTATAGTTCCATTCCATTGATATCCCTGTCAGGACACCGCAGTTCCCTTCTCTGGATCATTTTGCTGTGTTTATATTAACTTAAATTACGCCTGTTCTTTCCAAATAAATCATGTGTTCCAGCAACCTTAATTTCTACAATCTGGAACTTTCTGCCTTAATACTTATCTCTGAGGAAATGCATTCATTTCCCCTTTCCGCATTAGAGGCACAAGTTAGGGGGCGGTCATCATCTCGGAATGATGACCGTATACATTAGAGTCCTTCTCTCCTTTGTCCCTACATGAGTGCGTTGAACAGCTATCAAACCGCATAGATGCACGTAATCTCGTAAAAAGACAGAATTTCGCTTGCCAATTTGTCTATAGACTATTTTGCGGAGAGGTTTAAGTGCCGCCATGTCTGGCTGTTAACCTTTCTGTTTTGCATATTTAACAACTAAACGAACAGTGTTACGACATACGCACACGCATGAAAACGTCTGTTTCATGCGTACGATGTTTCTAAGACTTACTAATTCACATCGCAATTTATTAAAACAAGTAAACGTCAACTTATCAGGCCAAGGTGGCAGCACCCGCATGTCTTAGGTAAAATAGAATATACCTGTTGCCTCGCCAAACGACCACAATGTTCTGGCGCATAAGCATAATAGCGTTGTTCAGTGCAATAGACGATTACCTTCATTTTCTAGGTGATCTGCACTCTCTTCTGGCGTCATCTTATACGGTCACTCTGAATATGAATGGAAAAGCTTGCTGCATCACGCAAACACAAGACACAAAGTCGCTGGTTCAAGCCGGCGTTCTTTATCCATGGGCTCCAAGTTAAAACTAGCTCTTTGTCAATGCTTGCAGCTTGATGGAAGAGGTAAAACCAACTCGCTATTTAGGTTTGTGCTTAGTTCTTACTTGTGGTCATGATGCGACGAAACTGCGCGCCCCAATGGCGCGGGCGATGAAGTTCCCAGTTCTGCATGCCTTCGGGAAGTCCTGCCTCTTTTGACTTTGCAGCCAGGTTGTATATGTACACAATGCCTGGGCGCCTGCACGCCCCTAGCAGCCAGTCGTTGTCCTTGGCGAGCGGTGTGCAAATAAGAGTTTGCAGTGTGAACCGACCGCAGACGAACACCACGCGTGGGCTATGCAAAAAGAAGAGACACAGATATATCAGAAGACGAAACAATTCTTAACACGCAAGCCCCATAAACACCACAAGAGAAAACGGAGAAGCAAACACACCTATCGTAAAAAGATGACGGTTGAATGGAAGCCGTACTGTGTGGAAGGCGCTACAGCATTCAATCATGAGAGAATTTTTCTTTTTTTTTCCCCTTCAAAAATAACAGCGCGGGCACACGGGACAACAAGCACAATATGACTTTGCACTGTCTAACATCATGAGCGTAATATTTCAAGAGAACGAATATATACACATTCGAAAAAGGAGAGAGAGAGAGGAAACTTTATTAGAACTTGGCCGGCAGCTTGGTCTTGGTGGCCTCAGATGGCGGCGCTGAGTCCCTGAACTCGGGCGGCATCTTCGGCCTGCCGGACAGCCCAGAGCTGGTCGTTGAGCTCCGAGCTTCTGAGCGCCGCCTCCCAGCGGCGGCGTCGCCGACGGAGAAGGTCCCCCGCGGCTCCCGCAGACGGGACGGCGGCGGGAACGAGTGAGCTCGAGGCTTCCTGTTGCCTGGTATTGGCAGCCGCCATAGGCGCATTGCGAACGGCGGCCGTTTCTCGACCATTGTTATCGGCGCATTCCCAGAGCATGTGGCGCAGCGTTGCTCTGTGCCCGCATGCTTTACATAGATTGGTAATGTGTAAGTGCGGGTAGCAGTGGCGTAAGACGACCGGGCTGGGGTAAGAGTGGGTTTGTAGTAAGCGATAGCTTACGGCATCGTGTCTGTTTAATTTGTCATGCGGTGGTGGGAACTTTCGCCTTTCCAGTCTGTAGTGTTGCGTAATATCTCGGAACGTGATGAGACGATCACCCCACGACCATTGTGGTCTGTGTTGTCGCTGCGTGTCTGTCAAAGTGTCTCGATCCGGCAGATCAGAAGCCCCGTTCTCGGGAGCGGAGGCGGCGGCCACGGAATGTGCCGCGGCTCGGCGAGTGAGACCTCGAGCCGCGGCGTGGGCCGCCTCGTTGCCCGGAAGCGGGACATCGGTGTGTGCTGGGGTCCAAAGGAGGAAGACTGTTACATTTTGTTGTGGCGATCGCGACGCTGAGTCACCATCACCGCACATCTTAAGGACAAAAAAAAAGGACAAAAAATTAATGGAGGCCCTGCGCATGTGCCTCAACTAGTAAAGTGCCAAGTATATTGACTTGGACAAATATTCTCCCTAACAATTTTTTCGACGGACGGTACGCTTACGCGCGATGGCCCAATGGAATGAATCTTGAAAGCTTCATAGATCTCGCGGGGACGGACATTGCGATATCTATGTCAGATGCGCGTCTGGTTAAGTTGATGTCGCATGGGGCTTTGTGGCTCAATGTCCAACTGATGGCCAAAGAGCGCCAGGCCGCGGGTCAAGAGATGTGGACAATGGTTGTCGTAAGTGGCCGAGTATGGACCTTCGAATTCCTTGCGTTAAGGCGGGCAACAACATAGAAGTATTGAAATCAGTAAACAGACGTGAAATTCGTGTAGCGAGAATAATTAGCGAAAGCTAATGAGCGTAAAACTATGGTGCGAAAATGGGGCATTAGCACAAGTGCCTCGTCAGCGTTTTCGCTTCCAAGGGCCGCGAGGTAGGCGTTTTGTTTCATGTAACACCGCAGCAATAGCCTCCCTCACTGGTTGTACTATGGAATGCTCGTTATATCACATTAAAATTACTTACGACTGAAAAATGCAAAAAAAATCAATTATGTTTGAAAAGTGGCCGGTTGTCCACCTATGAGCAATGTAGGGTGTATTTCTTGTCGACAGAATAATGAAAAGTGCTGTCTTCAGAGCGTGTTAAACTCTATACACTGTAATAAATGTGAGACACTCTTACTGTTTGACCACATCTCTAGCAAAATGGTCGATCACCACCAGACAGAAGGTATGATTTTGTGTATGTCCCGTTCTTACCTTTGTAAACGTTAATTACGTGCGGCATGGCTGATACTGGCGACCAGTGACTGTAGGCCAGAGGAGTAGCAAGAAGCAACAAGTGTTTTTTTTTTCAGCAACGCAGCCGAGTATATAAGGAGGCTAGCGATAAGCGGTGGGGGCGTGGCGCATGCGCGTTGGAAGGCGCGCAAGCGGAACTTCGCGCTCCATTACAATGACAATACTAGTCAAAAAAGACAGTCAAAGGGTTATGACTCGCTAATTCTCTTGGGAACTCAATTGATCTTTTTTGAAGGTAGATTCAGAAAAAAATTAGCCCCGTATCTCCATGTTACACCGCAAATGTCGTTGAAAGACGATAGTTTTGCGTGTGGAGAGAGTGAACAAAACGTTTATTTGATGTTCTGCGCAAGAAAATCGTTGAATGGTATTCTGGAGGCGCTGCGTTAGAGGGCCTCGAGCGTGCAGTGCAAGCGAACGAGCGCATCAAGTTACGTCACACGTGAGACATGAGCGCAATCTGGCAGTTATCCTGGAAAACAGGGCGCGCGCCCTGCGCACCCGTCTCCGAGGTGATAAGGCGTAGAACACAAGGCGACGGGTAGGTGCCACCACCGTATCGTCTTAGCAAAATGCTGGTAGCACTTCCCGTTTCGTGCAAGCGTTGCATGGCCAGCGCAGCGTTACAAAGGCTACGATCCTTAAAATTACTTTTGATTGCCTTTTCTAGTAAAAGGTACACATACATAATATTTACATTTTGTTATGGTACCTCCGCTATGCGCGGTAATTGCTTTTAAGGACGATTGTCTTTCTTGGGGACCTTCGGCGCAAAAATTTTTGTCTGTCTGTACATTTGTCTGTTTGTCACCTTTTAACGGCGCTGGGTACTTGAAACGGCCGACCCCGTCCGTAGCACCCACTCATGTTGCTCAAGCTTTAGCGCTCATACTTGTGCAATTGTCCATTAAAAATCAATTATTGCGCATGTCTTGGGCACCATAACACGTATATATTCTGCATGTGCGTCCTTTTCTAGAAAGGCATACATAAGTAATTTTAAGGACCATAGCGCTTATCACGCTGGGCTGACCATGCAACGCTCGCACGAAAAGGCATTTCCTAACGCTTTGCTAAGACGAGACTGTGGTGGCACCTACCCGTCACTTTGCGTTCTACACCTCATCACCTCCGAGACGGGCGCGCACACCCGCCTCAGAGCCACACGCATCAGTTTTCCAAGAAAACTGCCTAGATGGCGCTCATGTCTCACGTGTGACGTGCCTTGATGCGCTAGTTCGCCTCCGACTGCACGCTCGAGGCGCTCTAACGTAGCACCTCCAGAATACCATTCACCGATTTTCTTGCGCATAACATCAAATGAATGTTTTGTTAACTTTCTCCACACGCAAGTCCTTTCGACGACATTTGCAGATTACATGCAGATACGGGGCCAATTTTTAATTGACAATCGCATCAAGTATGAACGCTGAACCTTGAGCAATATTGCTGGGCGCTGTGGACAGAGTTGGCCGTTTGGAGTATCGTTTGGTCACTTCGGTGCCATTTAGGGGTACCGATAATAGTGGACAAACAGACAAATCTACAGACAGACAGACAGACAGACAGACAGACAGACAGACAGACAGACAGACAGACCAAAATTTTTGTGTCGAAGATACCCAAGAAATATTATCGTCTTTAAAAGAGAGTTACCATTTCTAGGGAGTTACAAAACTCGTGAAGCGCGTTTCGACTGCCTTCCGTGTCGAAGGCGCCGCCGTATACGCTGTACATATCGCGCTTTAGTAGTTTGGCGTAGTTGTGCCCGGTTCGCGGCTCAGCCCAGTGACGGGGTGTCGCGTGTCCCCGCTGGTGTGGCGAGGACACGCGACACCACTCCACACGCGACACCTGCTCTCTCTCTCTACATCTCTCTCTCTCTGCGTGCCCTCCATCTTTTGAATGCGTTCCGTTGATTGGGCCGGTCGCGCGTCTTAAGGCTTTGAATTCGAGCGAAGACGCCTATTTTCGGAGGCGGTGACACCAGGCTCGCCTCGCTAGGTTGAAGTGACGCTCAGAGTAAGGAATATTCATGTAGCTGCGGGCGCGGACAGCGTGAGCCTGTTAACGGTGAGTGTGCTTTTCTCATAGGTGCTAATTACACAGCGCTGACTGGGCCTCTGCAGCAAGTGTGTGGAAGGAGGCTGCCAGCCATTTCCTACAGTAGCATGCGTTCGCGCGACTGTTCCAGGTGCCTAAAAGAAAATGTCACTTAACGAGTCAATCCCGCTATGCACGTTCTTGTGTAAGCGATTGCATCCCTCATACAATGAGTGATGTGATCACTTATGAGGGGCGATTATTGGCCGATTGCACATTGTGTCGGCAGTGGTTCTTCATATTGTTATGAACCGCACTTTAGGCTACGTATTGAATACATTTCCACCGATATATACTCGAGTGAGCAGCGTGCTTCTGCGGATGGAAGTGAGAAAAAAAGAAAGAAAGAAAGAACTAACGTCTGTGTATAGAGATACTTTGTATAAAAAGGCTTTTGTTGGCTTAAATACGGCATTTTTAGGTGCATATATGGTGCGATGTTCCCATAACACGTACGAGGTAATCTTTGAGAATGCTGAGAACACGTCTCGCCGGTGACGGGAAAATCTCTCGTCTTTCGACGGCGCAACTTGTTTCGGTCGCCTCCGTGCGCTGTTCTCTCGCCGTTTTCTTGCTTTGCTTACATCTGCGATGTCGTTCAGCGTTAAAACAAAATCGAATGAGTGTACGTGAATGTGGGAGCTTTGTGCGGTAGTTCTGTCATGCCATGCCTCTTGTCAACGTAGACGGCGTCCGCGCGCATTTGTTTCATTCGAGCACTCTTATTCGCATGTGTTAAGCTGGGTATCTAAAGATGGATTACGTTTGTAAAACCCTCGGTCAATAACCGCCCACGGCGTGGCCCTGACTGCCAGAGGATGGGATTGGTTGCCGGGTAATGCCAGGACCTTATTCTTAAAGCATACCTGGAAGCGATTTCTCGGGAAAAAAGTTCTTTCGTACGCAAT